GAGAGAGGGAGGGTGGGCTGGGTGAGGATGAAATAAGGGTGAGGATGGCCGAATTTGTATGGGTGTGAAGAGGATAGGGATAAAGGGGGATTAAGGGAGGTAGGAGAGAGGGAGAAAGAGAGGGAAGGGAGAGGAGGAGAGAGAGAGAAGGAGAGTGAGAGTGAGAGAGCCACAGTCAGAGAAACGAAGAGAGAGAAAAATACACTCAAGAACTTGCGAACTTTATTAGTATCTGGAAGTTTGCAAGAACACTCGGCAACACATGGCAACTTTGACACTTTGAGCTACCGGCTGCGAGTTGCCGTGCCGGAGGAAGGCCCCGAGTCCCAGATCGCTTTCATACGTCTTCCAATGTCTCCACGACACCTGCACGGGGCTCGCTCTCGGGAGGCGTTTATTAGCTGTCGCCTTTCTTTTTTTTTTTGGGGGGGGGGGGGGGTATGAAGGCGCATTTGCATTCACGCATAATATTGCTTCTGCGTTTATTTTTTTTATTTTTTGACTTCTTATTTCACTTTCTTTGTCTGTATGTCTGTTCTCTCTCTCTCTCTCTCTCTCTCTCTCTCCTCTCTCTTCTCTCTCTCTCTCTCCTCTCTCTCTCTTCTCTCTCTCTCTCTCTCTCTCTCTTTTCTCTTTCTTCTTTCTCTTCTCTCTCTCTCTTTTCCTTTCTTTTCCTCCTTTACATTCTCTTATCACCTCTTAGAAACATACGCCACCTCTCATTTCCCTCCTTCGCTCCATCTCCCGCTCTCTCTCCATTCCTTCTTTTGCGATGCCACACCATGCCATCATATCTCCCCCCCCCCTCTCTCTCTCTCTCCTATCCCACAATCACATCCTACCCACCTTCTCCTCTTCTTCCCCTTTCTTTCCTTCTTTCCCCATCTCCCCTCCCTTCCCCTCCCCTCCCTTCCTTCCCTCTTCCTTCCCGTCTCCCTCCACCCTTCGTTCTGTTGCGGAGCTCCTGGTCCTCATCAGCGCTCCATGACGTACGATTATGAGCCCGTCCCTTGTACTCAATCCCGGATGTACTACGTGCCAGATTACAACGAGTTCCAGCCGAAATTGGTACTTTGCTGACGGCTTAGTACGCGTCGCTTATGTTGGGAGGGAGGGGGATGGGGGGGGAGGGATTTTGAGGTGGGTGGGGTGGGGTGAGGATGAAATAAGGGGGAGGAGGGACGAATGTGGGGTTTGTGGGTGTGAAGGGGATTGGGATGAAGGGGGATTAAGGGAGAGCGAGAGAGAGCGAGGGCGAGATCGAGAGCGAGAGAGAGGGCGAAAGCGAGAAAGAGCGAGAGCAAGAGCAGAGCAACGAGAGGAGAGCGAGAGAGAGAGAGCGAGAGCGAGAGAGAGGGCGAGAGCGAGAGCGAGAGAGAGGGCGAGAGCGAGAGAGAGGGCGAGAGCGAGAGAGAGAGAGGGGCGAAGAGCGAGAGAGAGAGAGAGGGCGAGAGCGAGAGCGAGAGAGAGGGGCGAGAGAGAGAGAGAGAGGGCGAGAGAGAGAGAGGGCGAGAGCGAGAGAGAGAGAGAGAGGGCGAGAGCGAGAGCGAGCGAGAGCGAGAGCGAGAGCGAAAGCGAGAGCGAGAGCGAGAGAGAGCGGCGAGAGCGAGAGCGAGAGAGCGAGAGAGAGCGAGAGCGAGAGAGAGAGAGAGAGAGGAGAGAGAGAGAGAGAGAGAGAGAGAGAGAGAGAGAGGAGAGAGAGGAGAGAGAGAGAGAGAGAGAGAGAGAGAGAGAGAGAGAGGAGAGAGAGGAGAGGAGAGAGAGAGCGAGGGGCGAGAGAGGAGAGAGAGAGAGGGTGAGAGCGAAGAGAAGAGAGAGGAGAGAAGCGGAAGGGTGAGCGAGAGAGAGAGAGAGGGCAGGAGCGAGAGAGGAGAGAGAGAGGGCGAGAGCCGAGAGAGAGAGAGCGAGAGCGAGAGAGAGAGAGAGGGCGAGAGAGGCGAGAGAAGAGAGAAGGGCGAGAGCGAGAGAGGAGGAGCGAGAGCGAGAGAGAAAGAGAGAGCGATGAGAGCGAAGAGAGGCGAAGAGAAGAGAAGAGAGAGGAGGCAGATGGCGAGAGAGATTGGTACGAGAGAGGGCGAGAGCGAGAGCGAGAGAGAGAGAGGCGAGATGCTGAGAGGCGGAGAGAGAGAGAGAGAGAGAGAGAGAGTAGAGAGAGAGAGAGAGAGAGAGAGAGAGAGAGAGAGGGAGAGAGAGAGCAGAGATTGGATGAGAGAGACGAGGGCTGTGAGAGGAGAAGCTGAGAGGCGAGAGCGAGAGTCGAGACCGCGATTCAAGANACACATTCACAGATTTCCATGAAGACATTCTTCCCCTGCTCATCTCGAAAATGGAATCCACGTACCAATTACTGTTCATTGTTCATTGTTCATTGTTCATTGTTCAGTGACTGCTCGGAGGGACGTTCTAGAATCTAGTGAGCAATGGACAGATTTTCCCTTTGTCGTATTTGACTTCATTGCGGAAATTACCAATCAGCTGATGTCCCTTTGCTACACGTGTCATCTGTCACACGATGTAAGGAAAGCTGAAAATGGTTTAAAGCAAGATTGCAGAGAACATGCAATTGCCGAGAGAAAAATACCGGAAATAATTTGCAATTCAACCTGAGAGAATTTGCAAAGGAAAGGAAAATTCACTTTAATTCCCATGTAATTGCAACGTGACTCGCAAAAATCATGGTGCAATGCTCTATGCCTTCACAAATAGTGGAAATTCGCAAATAATTCTGGTATTTCTTGCAACTGCGAAACCTGTGCTTTGAATGGCCGTCGGGTGTTTTGTTGTGATAATTATTATTATGATTTATATAAACATTACTATGATCATGATTATTATTACAATTATTATCATTATTATTATCATTATCATCATCATTATCAACATCAACAACAACATCCTCATCCTCGTCATCATCATCATCACCATCATCATTTCTATCACCATTACCATTATCCTTATCGCTACCATTATCATCATTACCACATCACCATTAATTTTACAACCCTCCGTTACTGACCAATCGACAATCTACACTGAGACGCCTTACAAATCCCGCTGATATACTGAAATAATTCAAATTGACGATGATTTAGCAGTGGCTGGACTTTTGGCGTGCTAATAATGTAACATTTCATCCAATCAAGGACACTCCATTGGCCGCAGCTGATGAGCAATTCTAATCAAGGACACTCGAGTTAATTATTCAGATATTGCACGAACGGGGAAGGTTGGCGGCAGGAAGGGCACCCGGTGTATGGACAATTGTGCTAAGTAAATTCGTGATAAAGATTGGGGTGATGCATAATGGTGGTCAGTGGAGATTCTGATGGACACTAGAAGAAGGCGATGATGAAGAAGGGGAAAAAAGAAGAAAGAGAGAAGGAAGTGAGGAGAAGAAGAAGGAGAAGTAGTACAAGTAAAAGAAGAAAGAAAATGAAAGAAAGGAAGATGAGAAAGAAGAAAAAAGAAAAGAAACGAGTAGAACAAAAGTAGAAAAAAATAAAGACAAAAAAGTAGTAGTAGTAGAAGAGGAAAGAGGAGAAGAAGAAAGAAAGAAAAACCCCTGCAGCAAAACAGACTTATCTATTACATCTCACACAGACAAACACCTTTGATACATAGCACTCAAAGCCACACACAGAGCAACATTTGCGTCAAAGGCTTCTTTATTCAAAAGAAAAAACGACCTTTGCCTCTTTTCGCTTCATGTGTCATCCAAAAGCTTATCCGTGAAATGAAAATAATTGTTTGGTTATGATGACTTACAGGGTGAGATTGTAAATCACTTGTGCATATCTCGGTTAATCTAAGAATGTTCCAAGTAAGCTTTAAGAAAGTCGAAAGAAAGTCCCAAGAAAGTAGCGAGAAAGTACTAAGAAAGCCGTGAGTGTCATAAGTGAGACATAAGAAGGGTTGTAAAAAAGACACATACAAGGCATAAGAAACAGAGAAAAACCGAAAGAAAGACACAAAATATCCCCAAGAAAACGGTAAGAAATCCACAGAAAAGCCATATGAAAACCACAGAAAAGCCCCAAGAAAACGGTAAGAAATCCATGGAATCCCTTAAGAAAGGCACAAAATATCCCCCCCAAAAATGTAAGAAAGCCACAGAAAAGCCCCGAGAAAACTGTCTTCAATACTGATTAAGGCGGCCGCACTACATATACTAAGGGAAGTATAATAGAATTATTGACTAGTGTTCGTACATGTCGGCGAAGTTAATAAAATTGTGGGGACCTCACAGGTTGTGATTTAATTGAAATTCAAAGGTTGCCTCTCTTAAAGAAATAAGAAAAAAAATCGTCCACAAACCTCGTTGTCTCGAACCGTCTCGAATGTAAACAATACAATGAGCTTTTTGAAAAGTTCATAGATGTCGCTGCGTATCCCCAGCAGATTTGTATTAAAAAAAAAAAAAAAAAAATGATAATACAGTTCTTGTATTTAATCTGTACGATAATTTACGATTTATTAAATTATTCGTCGGTTAATGTCACGAACCTATCGTTGTTGATTCGACCCCTTTTTGAGAGTACACTTTTTTCGACCCTAGTGACCTTGCAGACTTTTGAAAAATGATAATACTGTTCTTGTATTGTGCGCTGACTGCGACTATGGATATAGCGATTTTTTGCTGAAATTTGTCGGAAATACTGAAAAGATTTTGGATTAAGTACGTGCTCATGGTGTTATACTAAAACATTTAATTGTTCCAATTGCGGCAGTGAATGCAGGATAGACTACAGAAAAGACTTCCTCTGTGATAAATCTTGCGCTAAGGGTCAGAAGAAAAAAACGCCGAGGTGCCTTTGTCCGAATAATTTTTAAAAGCACCTGTTTTGACAAAGCGAAAGTGGACGTGGAAACCAACTTACAGTGTTGTAAGTTATTTCTGCGAAAAGAATTTTAATTCGAACATATTAGAAATGAATTAAAACTAAAGGATAATACCATAAATGATTGGTCGTTTCTGTAGGGAAGTGCTTGTCTCTTGGTGCATGAGAAATAGTGCATTGATAGGGGACCCTGGAAAGACTGTGGAAATTGACGAAGGTAAATTCAGAAAGAGAAAGTATAATGTAAGACGAGTGATGGAGGGCCAGTGGGTGTTCGGTGGAGTTTGCCGAGTAACGAAAGACTTTTTTTCGTATCCGTTGAGAAAAGAGGCTCGGACACGCCAATAACAATTATTGAAGACTATGTGCTACCCGGGACAACTATAATTTCAGACTGTTGGAAAGCATACGACAGTCTGAACGAAAAGGGCTTCAACCACCTCAAAGTAACCCACACGTATAATTTCGTTGATCCCAAAACTGGCGCCCATACCAGACACACCGAGAGCAAGTGGAGGGACGCAAAACGCACAGTCCCTCACTTTGGCCGCCGGAAAGCGCAACTTGTTGGACACCTCGCGAGGGTGATTTTCCTTAAATGCCCAACAGGAGGCAAAGAAGCGACTGCACCGTTTCCTGCTTCCTGCTGCCGAGTTATACCCTCCGTCTCTTTAAAGGAAGCTAAATATTTTAGGGGAAGGGGTTGCGGAGGTATGCTTTGTCTGTACGGCGATATACCTCCCAGGAAAGGGTATCCTGGTAGAGAAATACGCCATTTTAGTTTTTTTTTTTTTAACTTTCTTTTCTATCTGCTTTCTTTATTGATTTCTAATCTAAGTTTTGCCTCGATGTTTTCATGTTTTCCCATTCTTCCACTTTTTAATTACGAAGTTTGGATCTTTTTTTTCCATTTTTACACTTTCCTTTGCTTTTTAAAATCCGGACACTCGCTCAGATTTTGCCTTTTTCAAAAATTTTCACTTTTGATTCCACTATTTCTCCCGTGTGTGTCCCCCCCTTCAACCCCCGATTCCCCACGGGTCCCCTAGGGTTGATAGGAAATAAGACATAACACATAGGCGCGGCCCTCTGGCTTAGAATTACCACACTGTATGAAAGCCACAGAAATAACATAAGAAAGCTAAAGGAAAGCTCCAAGAAAACTAAGAAAGTCACAGAAGAGACCCAAGAAAACTGAGAAAGCCACAGAAAAGCCATAAGAAAGCTAAAGGAAAGCTCCAAGAAAACTAAGAAAGCCACAGAAGAGACCCAAGAAACCAGTGAGAAGCCCAGAAAAAAACAAGCAAATAAGAAAGCCACAGAAAAGACCCAAGAAAACTGTAACAAAGGCACAGAAAACCCATTAGAAAACCATAGAAAAGCCATAAGAGAGCCCCGGAAAAGCCCCGAAAACTGTAACAAAGCCAAGAAGCCATACGAAAGCCACAGAAAAGCCCCAAGAAAGCTGTAACAAAACCACAGAAAACCCATTAGAAAGCCACAGAAAAGCCCAAGAAAACTAACAAAGCCACAGAAAATCCCCCAAAAAACTGTAACAAAGCCACAAGAAGCCATAAGAAAGTTACAGAAGAGACATAAGAAAACTGTAACAAGCCAAAGAAAGCTGTAACAAAGCCGCAGAAAACTCTCAAGAAGCCAAAGAAAACTGTAAGAAAGCCACAGAAACCCCCAAGAAAGCCAAAGAAGAAAGCCAAGAAGCCACAAGAAAGCCAAAGAAAGCTGTAAGAAAGCCACAGAAACCCTCAATAAAGCCACAGAAACCCAAGAACCCAAAGAAAGCTGTAAGAAAGCCACAGAAATCCCCCAAGAAAGCCAAAGAAAACTGTAACAAAAGCCACAGAAACCCTCAAGAAAGCCACAGAAACCCCCAAGAAAGCCAAAGAAAGCCACAGAAACCCTCAAGAAAGCCGCAGAAATCCCCAATAAAGCCAAAGAAAACTGTAACAAAGCCACAGAAACCCCCAAGAAAGCCACAGAAATCCCCCAAGAAAGCCAACAAAGCTTTTTAACAAAGCCACAGAAACCCCCAGAAAGCCACAGAAACCCCCAAGAAAGCCAAAAACCCCAAGAAAGCCACAGAAACCCCAAGAAAGCCACAGAACCCCAAGAAAGCCCCACAGAAACCCCCAAGAAAGCCACAGAAACCCCAAGAAAGCCACAGAAACCCCAGAAAGAAAAAGAAAGCACAGAAACCCCCAAGAAAGCCACAGAAACCCCAAGAAAGCCACAGAAACCCCAAGAAAGCCAAAAAAAAACTGTAACAAAGCCACAGAAACCCTCAAGAAAGCCACAGAAAGCCGCCTAAGAAAACCGCATTATCCTCTCTCGTCTCGGGTTCCCGACGGAAGAATCTATGAGATGCTTATTGATTTTCGATTTGCATTTCCTTCACTCTCTTTGCTTTTATTTTGCATTCTCTATTTTTATTTGTTTATTCTTTATTCTCTACTTTTCTTTATTTTTCCACTTTTAGTTTTCTTTTTTTCTTTTTCTTTTTTAATCTCTCTTTCTCTCAATTCCATGTTTTTTTTTTATCATATGTATGTTGCTTCGATTTGCTATGTCCTGTATTATTGTTATTGAGAATGGTAATTTCTGTTATTGTTGTTATCATTATCATCAATAGTGTTATCATTATTTTTGTTATCAGTTATCATTGTGATTATTTTTTATCATTGTGTTGTTATTATTATTAGTAGTAGTAGTAGTATCATTATCATCCTCACCATCATTATCATTATCATTGTTATCATTATTATTGATATTATCATAATCATTATTATTATCATTACCAGTTTCACTATCTTCATTATTATCATTGTTGTAATCATTATCATTATTATTATTGTTGTTGTTATTGTTATTGTCATTATCATTACTGCTATTATTATAATTATCATTATCATTATTATTATTATTATTATCATTATTATTATTATTGTATTTTTATTGTTGTATTATTACTATTACTTTTGTTATTATTTTTATTACTATTGTAATTATCACTATTATTATTACTATCATAATAATAATAATAATTATTATTATTATTGCTATTATTATTATTATCATCATCATTATCATCATCATCATCATTATCATTGTAACGTTATTATTATTATTATTATTATTATTATTATTATTATTATTATTATTATTATTATTATTATTATTATTATTATGACCATTATTATCATCATTATCATTACTTTTATTATTACTATTATCATTATAATTATTAATATTTTCATCATTAATATTATGATCATTACCATTATTATTGTTATCACCATTACTCTTGCAATATCAGTGTCATTATCATTATTAAATCAAATATTCATCAAATTTATCATCCCTTTTTTCATTTTTTTTTTAAATCAATTCCATCCTACCAATATTACAGTTTTTTTTTAATTTCCTTTTTATCAAAAGTTTATTATCATTATCCCTTTTCCATTTTTATTAACGTGTTCTTCAGCGTTCTTATGTTATTATTTTCCATTGTTCTTGTTTTTTTCTTCTTTTTTTGTTCTTTCTGTTTTGTTTTTCCCCTTTTTAATTATTTTTCTTGCCTTTATTATTTTTACTTTACGCTATTTCCGTCTTTTATATTTTTTCCCTTTTAAGTTTCTTCCTCTGATTTCATTTTTTTCTTGACATATTTTTTACTTTTTCCCCTTTATTATTCCATGGTTTTCCATCTTTTCCAAGCCCATTTTCGTTGTTTTTTCTTCTGTTTAATTCTTCCTTGTTAACACTCTTTTCTCCCGCCCCTTGCAATATTTTTTTTTTTTTTTTATCATATCGACTTTATTTCATATTTAATTCCCCAGCAGTTTTTTATATATATATTTTTTATAATTCTGATAATTTATCCGAGGTGATGAATTAATATATTTTTAATATGATCACAAGAAGGAAATGATATAAATAAGAATATGCAGGGAAGGAATAGAAGTAAGGATAAGAAGCATAAGAGAAATAGAAGAAAAAGAAAGCATAAGAACAAAAGTAGGAATAAGAAGGATGGAAATAAAAGTAAAAATAAGAAGTAATAAAGTGAGAATACGAAATATAAGAATAAAAGTAAGAATAAGAAACATAAGAATAAAAAGTAAGCATGGAAACACAATAATAGAAGAATAGGAAGCATAACAAAAAAAGACACAAAGATAATGATAAGATTTTTTTTTAAATCCAGCACTCAAAAAAAAAAAAAAAAAAAAAAGAATGAGAAAAAACAAGACGTCATTCCAAGCATGTGCAACATCAGAGGAAATCCAAGAAGGGTTTTATGTCGTGTTTTAACAATAATTTTTGGGCTTCGAAGAACACCGACGTTCATCTTTATTCTTTATGTAACTTGAGGGCAAGCTGGATTTACTCTCAAAGTGGGGAAAAAATATGTTACTACTATTTTTACTTATACTTTTGCCAACTTTTGTAACTCTAGAAGTGAGAGAGGTGCGTAGAAAAGATATTCAAGAAGCAAGGTGATAAGTAAAGTAATATACGTAAAAGTGTGTCTATTTGTTTATCCTTCTCTCTCTGTCTCTGTCTCTGTCTATGTCTCTCTCTCTGTCTCTGTCTCTCTCTCTCTCTCTCTCTGTCTCTGTCTCTCTGTCTCTGTCTCTCTCTCTCTCTCTCTCTCTCTCTCTCTCTCTCTCTCTCTCTCTCTCTCTCTCTCTCTCTCTCTCTCTCTCTCTCTCTCTCTCTCTCTCTCTCTCTCTCTCTCTCTCTCTCTCTCTCTGGTCTATCTATAGCTCTGTCCATCCATCTATCCCTTTACTTCTATTTCAAAAATTGCAAGGACTCAGAACAACACATCAGTTACAAACAAAACAATACACGTCTTTTGTCGCAGAGAGATTGCAGTCATTCATCAAAGTGCTTTTGCAGACCGCGAGTGAGTGTCAAGTGCAAGTGCTTTCCCCAATGCGAGGATAAGGGTTCGCGTTTCTTGGAAATGGGGAAAGATGAAAATGAGAATAAACCCGGAAACAAGAGGAGAGGCGAGGGACTAGAAGCGCCTTTCTTCTTCTGCGTCATGATGGGAATACGTAGAGAAATTGTTCTCAAATATTTAAGATGGTGCTTTTGGCTATCTTAGGTTTATTATCTTTCCTAATGCATTAATGTCACCTTGGTTATTATTATCATTAATTATGTTATTAGTATCCTTATAATAATTTTTGCATCATCATTATGATCATTACCATCATCATTATCATTACCATTATTACTTTCATTGTTATTACTATCATTATTATCATCATAATTTTGTTATCATAATAATACTGATAATAGTTAATAGTATTTTTTTATATTATTGTCATTATTATTATTATTATTATTATTATTATTATCATTATCATTATCATCATCATTATTATCATTATCATTATTGCTGCTATTATTTTTATTATTATCATTAGTAGTAGTAGTATCATTGTTATCATTACCGCTATTATTATCATTATCATTATTATAATTTTAGTGACAATGATACTAATACTCATTATATCAATTATCATTTATATATCATTTATAATTTCCATTACCATTGTTATCAGTATTATTTTGTTATGTTATCATAATCATAATGAAAATCAATGATGATAAAAAAATATAATAATATAATGATGATGATGATGATGATGATGATAATTATAGTGATAATAATAATGATAATTATGACATTAATAAAAAGAATAACTGTCATTATCATTACTGTTATCGTCATCATCAGAATTTTTATTATTATTATCACTATCATCACCATTATCATCATCATTATTATTTTGATATGAGAGCGAAAAGGGAGAGAAAAGGGAGTAATGAGGGAAACAAACGAGGGGAAATATTATATGCAGAAAAAGCAGTAAAAGAAGAATAAGTAGAAGGAGAAAGAGCAAGAAAATATGGAAGAAGAATAACAGAGAGAGAGAAAGAGAGATAGATAGATAGATAGATAGAGAGAGAGAGAGAGAGAGAGAGAGAGAGAGAGAGAGAGAGAGGAGAGAGAGAGAGAGAGAGAGAGAGAGAGAGAGAGAGAGAAAGAGAGGAGAGAGAGAGAGAGAGAAGAGAGAGAGAAGAAAGAAAGAGAGAAGCAGAAAGAGACAGACAAGACTAAAACAGTGACAAAGAGAAAGAACGAGAAGAGGAACACGGACTGGCACAATGTCACAGGGAGATGCCTTATGGACCGCACAATCTCTCCCTTCGTATGCCATCACTTCTACACGTCTGTTGACATGACACTCGCTCCGGGAAAGAAGGGCTCAAAGGCACTGTGTACCGGATTCTCAACTGCAAAAAAGAACATGAAAAATTGGTCTGTTGGAGGACCATTGTTTATATGTCTTTGTTGATTGGTGTGTGTGTGTGTATGTGTGGGTGTGTATATATGTATGCGTGTGTATGTGTGCGTATTTGTATGTGTGTGTGCTTGTTTATCCATTTTATTATGTGTGTATCTATCCTTCTTTCTGCGGTTTTCTTTGTTCATGCGTTTATACACCTACACGTATCCATCAGGTGCATTTACACACATATATTTATTACACCCGAGCTAACGCTACTCTCCTGCCGCCTCCGCCATGAGTGCCAATAGGTGTGGAAATCCTCGACGCAATTACTTTACTACCGCACAGCCTCCCTATAGTTTGGTTAAAGCCCACTCAGACCCTAGGTGGCCCGCGTCTTAAGAGGTGCCCGCGTCTTAAGAGGTTCTTCGACTTTCTCAGCACAAATAGGGAGATTCTCACAGCCTCTTTGTGCGAAATGAGAGGTTGTTTCTGGAACGGATCGATCTTAATCTACAGTTCTGCAAACCTCGCTTCTCCTGCGCTTGGCTAGAATTCAAGAGGGCGGAGTTTGCAGGTTGCTTAACAGTTCTCCGATGGTTGTTCGTGTTATCGATGGCGTGTTGTTTCGCCACCGGTAGGCTTCGCTCGGTGTCGTTAACGGAGTCGGTATCGAAGTTACCTGTGTTCCCATTGTTGAGTCGTCTGCGGAATCGTTTTTTGCTGTGGTTGGCGGGTAGGGGGTCGAATTGGTGTGTTGCCTGGTATGTCGGCAATATTCTGGTTTAATTTTGTATTCTTATTTTAGCTTCAGAGGTGAGACATGGCATGAAAAGGTTTGATTCCTTGAGCAGGTGAGATATTTTTTTTATATTTTTTATTAAAATCATTTGCATGTGGGTGAGAATATATATACTGGTACATAGCATTCGACTACATAGCACTGTAAAGCAAAGTCATGTCTGCTATTGAAGCTTTCAGATTTATCAAGATTGTGTGT